TCGAACATGAACTCATTGACGAACAGAACACGAACTGTTTGCGAACAACGAGCTTTTTTGACAGCCCTAGATATGAGTGGCATTTGGAGTGTTTATCTTTGACCAAATTAATCTTCTAAAGATATAAGTTTAATTTTGTCTCTTTCACAGGACAAGTTAGCCCGTTTCATTGTCCGTGTAACTCACTATGTTCTCATTGGACCTGAGAAATCTATCTAATTTGTTTTTCTATGAAAAAGAAGATAAGCACAGTTAACATCCACATGATTCTAACTAGAAGCCATTTATGTCTTCTTCAAGCAGCTACCCTATTCTGCATGAACTTGAGTTCTAGAAAGCCATTATTCATTAACAAGAGATGTGTGGTCTGCCCCGGCTTGCCAGAAAATTTTTACATTCGGAGACTCTAACAACGATGTCAAGAATATTTTAGATGAAAGCAATTTTTTAAAATTTTGTACAAATAGCTTAATTTTATTGGAGTCCAGACGCAGAGTTATCCGTACCTAAAATTTTCGTCACTTGCAAAGTCTGACCACCCACTTCATCTACTTTTTGGGCGTATAAAAGCTTGAAAAACTTTTTCAATCTAGGAATGAAAAATATTCTTCTTTCATGCTACAATTAATCATTATGGAAAATAATATGTTATGATAATCTTTATGAAATTAAAATGAAGACTTAGAGGTGATAGTAAAAAGATAAAAATATAATACATTCTTATATTCCAAGTAATGGAGTTTGCTCCTCAAGGGAATCATTATCTCCTCTATTTCAATTTTTAACATAATGATATTTAAATGTAAAATAAAAACAATTACTTTACATATTAAATTTTAGGGTGTATAGAATTTTATGAACTTTTAACTTTGTTCTACCATTGAAGAGACTATACTACAATAATGATTTTAAAATATAGGGACTTATAAGAGAATTGAAAATTAAATATTGAATTTTTTATGTTATTTGGAGGGGTAGTTGCCAGAAAACTTCCTAGGATTTCTAAAATTTGAGGAGGTTCTTTATATTGCTAAGAGTTTTTAAACAGACATATTAGAAGAGATAGAAAGCACTACATCAAGGGGTTGTCTAGCAACAAATGTGTTTTAAGTTATTATAATTTAATAAATTCTGTAAATCTGGATTTGCTAAATCATGGATGGAAAACCATATGATAAAAAAATTTCCAAAATCCCGCAATCCATCAAACTGTTTGGAAAATTCAGCATAAATCCACCTTGCTCCCCTACACGCTCCCTATAAATCTCGTAAACCTCGTAAATCCATCGATTTGCCGGATTTAGGATTTGAAGGATGGGATTTGCAGTTGAAATCCAAAAATCCTGGATTTATAAAATCTGCGCTTTCATATGGCCAAAATAGTCTTCTAGCAAGATTTACCTTAAACCTCACTCTAAATTTGTTGTCAGACAGCCCCCAAGGGTCTCATGTGATGCCTTGGTGGGCTCAAAGGCCTGAACCACAAAAGGGTAGATGTTCAGGTCTCGAAGTGAATCGATGAGCGAACCTCGATCTTCTACTGTGACGACCTTACAGGTATGGAAAATAGAGAGATTCCTGCATGACCTTCTCAAATTTTTAGATATTCGGGCCAGGATATTCTCCTAAAAAATAGGACCCTTTCCTAGCAAAGAGGAAACTGCTCTCATGATGTTCTTGGCTAGAAGGTCAGTGGTAGAGCCATCAACATGGACAGCAGGCTTAAAACTGTCTGCACCCCGAGGAGGGAAAGACCTCCGAGCAATCTTGGCTAGGACATGGTCTATGCAGTCGAACAACAGAACAAAATGATTCTCAGTCAAAGCAGGGGAAGGAACCTATTGTTGAACCTCCTACTGAGACCGCGAAAACATGTTTCTTACCCCAATCTGGGAGCAGGAGAAGCCTCAAACGTATCCAGAATGAAGGGAGTCCGGACAACAATCAAATCAATAACATTAACTCTAGAGCTATGAGTTGATTCCCCTACTGAAGAGCAAACCATCATTTGATCCAAATCAGATGTTGTGTAGGACCTACCCCCCCCCCCCCCCTTCTCCTCCTACTTCACTGCGGAAGAGAAGAGACTAGTGGGGGTGCATCAATCGAGCAAAAGTCTATTTCTTCTCTTTGGCCATCAGTAGCCAGAAACTCTGGAGCTATCAGTGTAATGGTGGGTCTTTGATCACCCCTTACCCTCAGCTCAGTTGAAACTGAAGGATGGGTTTGTCTGATCATCCTCGGGTTGAACATTTCCCAGTGTGTTACATTTCATTATGGGAAAATCCCCTATGCACTTAAAGAACCTACAGTGTGGCGGACGTTTTCGAATCTGACAACCCTATTTCAACCATAGGCTGGAAGGTCTTGACCTCAGGCACGACACACTTGTCGGGTCCATCGCCTTCTACTTAATTACCATCGCCCTCTACTTAATGACATGAAAAACCAAAGCACAAGCCTCCTTACAATGGATTTAGGATGTTGTACACTCTCCATACTCAACACCATTAAAAAGATGAAAGGCCAATCTGCAGGAACTCCTGGAAGATATGCCCCAACATCTCATTTTTCTTTATTTATAATGGCATTGCCACATAGATCAAGAAATAGTTAATTATTATGCATTAAATAGTCATGAATACCACAAACTTGTTAAAAAAAATTAGATTCCCTTGTTCTTATCACAGTTGTCGCTATCAAGGAACAAAAGTTTAGTATTTTTCACCTTTTTACTTATACCTAAAAGAAAAACACACAAATACCTTCCATTAAAGTGCAATATCTCAAATATATATATATATATATAAATGTGTCAGCACAAATCTCAAAGGTATCTCAGGGCCAGCAAAAAAGGCGACTTGACATCACGGGACCTACCAAGTATGACCTGAGACCGCATGCTTAGTCGGTTGGCTCCCGTGTCCCGGGAGGACAATATTTTTAAGGCAGATAAGAGTAAATTATCTCTCAATGTATCTATCTAATCAGACTCATGCAGACGAGTCAAGCACCCTCCACTCTGGTTAGCCCGGGTGAGAAGGGAACATTGTCGTGTTCCAAAGCAGTTGGTATCGATCCTCAGTAAGTGGCGCCTGACCTGATGACGATCTGGCTTAATGACCTCCGGTCTTATGGACGCTCAGCCTAATATTCGCATGATCTAATAGACGCTCGACCTAATTATGCCCGACCGAGATAACCCAACATAATAGCGGCCTGACAAAATGAACGTCCGACTTAATGGATGCCCGATCCCTTTCAGCAGAACATCCATACGACCTCTAGGCCATATTTTGTATAGGCTAAAATGCCCTCGCAATACCTATGTATGCAAGGGGTATAGTATGTAATAGTACATCCCCATTCCTATAAATTAGGATCCATTTGTTGAATAAGGGTTACAAAATTTTACTGCTCACTACTCATCTCTCTGTTCCCTCTTCTTTTCTAAGATGCTCTATTTCTTAGGCTTATTTCAAGGACATACTTGGAATCAACAGTTTCATTGTCTCTCGTAGTTTCTCTTTCATTTTTTTCACCTCTATATTTTTGTTCATTTTCATAGTCTCGTCCCACTTTTCTAGAGATATACAACTTCGGTTAAAAATAGTGATATAAATGAGTCGAGTCGTGTCGAATTCGAGCCTCCCTCAAGTTAAATTGGAGCTTATTTAAGTTTCTCGAACTCGAGCCGGAGCTTAAGTTTACAAGTTTTAATTTAAATGTTATAATAAAATGACAAGTAAAATGTACAATTAAGAGAGAAATAATAAGAAATCATTTAAAATAAAGTATAAATTGGTTTTTTAGATATTTTAAATAATTTAATGATGGAATCTTCGAATTTAAAATATTTTGAATATATTTTAAATTAATATTTTTAAACGAGCCGACTCATGAGCTGAGTCGAGTCTGGGCTAACTTGAGCTTAGCTTGTTAGCTCATTTAGCTCAGTTCACAAATTATAGAACTCAGACTTCGAACTGACTCAGAGTCAACTCATCTAAGTTACACCCCTAATTATAAGCAAGCACAAATTTATTGAATTAAAGGGTCTGTTTAGGGCAGTTGTAGCTATCCAACTTATTCAAATAAACTACTTATCCTGATAAACTGCTGATAAGCGGTTGATCCAGATAAGCCGTCTGACTGTTTGATTTGTGTGTTTGGAAAACAGTTGATTCTGGATAAATGACCATTATGCTCCTGTTTTGAACAAATAATATAAACAAACTAGGATATTTTATAAGATAAAAAGACATTACATAACTTGAAACAAGTGATTATTTCTAAATAGAATATACATAAATATATTTATACATAAACATATAAACTCGCATATTCATATTTATGTTGAGATTGTAAGCAATGATTGATGATGCATTTAATAGAGATAAATTATATTTTTATATTTTTATTCCCATATATGTTGCATTAATATGAGAAAACATGCTCAAAGTTTTTCAAAGAGATGGTTGGGTCTGGATCACACAAAGGAGAGAAAAATTCAACATGTACCTAAACTATGGTTTGCACACAAAAAAATCACAAGAACCGAGCAGCACCTTCTTCTTTGTTCGCACATCGACCTTTCTTCTCTCTTGCGATTGTGATTTTCGAACGTCTTCGAAACTCCTCATTTCTCCTTTGTTCTGTATGCTGAAACAGGAACAACAATAAACCGAGCCCCATCTCACCAATCGCGCGATATCTTGGCACGAGAAAGTCGCGATTAAGCTCAGGCATGAAATTTCTTGTGTTGCTCCGAGCGACATCCGAGAGGAGGAGAGGAGATGGCTCGGGGCTCAGGGAGGAAGGCGACCGAGAGAGTCGAGTTTTAGGGCAGAGAGACAGGGTTCGGGAGAAAGGCGAACGAGAGAGTGACGAGGGCCTTTATCGTAAATCGCTCGAGTGAAACACATTTAAGAGAAAAAAGAGTACTAAAAACGCCTCCAGCCCTATTCAAACAGTCCGATGGCGTTTGAAAACGCCTTGAACTCAGTTTATGCAATATACAATTTACCGCCGTTGCTCATCCGGCGTTCTACCGCATCCATCGCCTCATGTTTTTGTCGCATTAACGACTGCAATGTTGGAAACCGGAGCAGCTGTCCCCTTCTTCCCGATGTCGACAACCTACTGTAGAGCTTCCATTGGTGCAATCTCCTCGGCACAGATTCCACCGGACCCTACCACGTTCTCCACCGCCCAACGCCAGCTCTGCCGAGCGACGTGGCTCTCCTCCCGCCACGCCTTCTCCCCGCCCGGCGACGACTTATCTCATCCACACAATACCCGCCGCTCAGCCATTGAATCCACTAGCACACTGTCCCAAGTCCATTAGTTAGCTTCAAAGCATATCCTCTATTTATCCGTACGGTATCTGAAGAAGTATTTTGCAGTCCCATGGCCTCTTCCTCCTCCGCCGCCCACCGCATATCCACCGCCATGGAGCGAACCGGCCGGTGGTTAGTAAAACCTGCCCTCTTTGTATCGGTTGCTATTTTAATTCCAAGATAACGGAATATATACTTTCTTCTTCTTTTCAAACTTTCAGGGTTTTCTCTCAGGAAGTTCCATCTGACATCGTCATCAAGGTCGATGACGCCACTTTTCCTCTCCACAAGGTACCAATCGAATCGCTTTACACCAATAATGGCGTTATTCATAGAATTATAATATCTGATTAGGTTAATTTTTTTTCGATTCAGTTCATACTGGTGGCAAAAAGTGGGTACATAAGAAAGAAGATTATAGAGTCGGATAAATCGGATCTGGCAACTCTGGAGCTCAAGGGGATACCTGGCGGTGCGGATGCTTTTGAGAAGGCAGCGAGATTTTGCTATGGTGTTAACTTTGAGATTTCAGTTGAAAACGTGGCGGCGCTGCGCTGCGCCACGGAGTGGCTTGAGATGACGGAGAAGTCTTGTGAGGGGAACCTCGCCGCGCGCGCCGACGAGTTTATTGCTAAGGCCGCGCTCATCACCCTTCCCGGTGCTGTTGCCTTGCTGAAATCATGCGAGAAACTCCTCCCTTTTGCTGACAAGCTCCGGATTGTGCAGCGTTGCGTTGATGCCATTGGTTCCAAGGTCTGATCTCCGAAACCTTCTATTCATTTTATCTATTGTCGATTTTGTCTGATTTTTAGTTAGTAAATTTTATGATTGAGTTTTTTTAGAATTATACAATGTGTTTATACCACTTGTTGCGGATTGTTTGGCCGGAAAATTTATGCTTTACAGTAAGTCAAATTCAACAGAAACGTGCGTTTTAAATCTCTGATTTGGTTCATGCTCTGTGTTCGCTTCAATTTCAGGCAACTCAAGAGGCAAACTCCCCCAGCCGCTCCCCTCCAGACTGGTGGGCAGCTGAACTCGCCATCCTCAGTCCACCCGTCTTCCAAAAACCCCTTGCCGCCATGAAAGCTCGAGGCGCCGCCCCCAAAACCCTCTCAACAGCCGTCGCAGTTTACGCCGGAAAATCCCTCCCTGACCTCCTCCCCCTCTTCACATCCTGCGGCCGTAGTCCATCCGTCGCTGCTCCCAGCGCTAGTACTGACCGCTCAGCTCAGCGCAACTTCATTGAATCCTTCATCGCAATTCTCCCAACCGATCAGGACGCCCCCCTTCCCGTCGGCTTTCTCTGTTGCTTCCTCCGAGCAGCCATCTTCCTCAATGCTTCAGCGGCCTCCCGGCGCGACCTCGAGCGCCGGATCGCTCCATCCCTCGACCAGGTGGCTGTCGGTGACCTAATGGCCATTGCCTTCGATTTATCCGGCCAGAGGCTTGCTGATCTTGACAGTATTCGCCGGATTGTGACTGGTTTTGCGGAACGCGAAGTCGCTGGTGCCGCCGCACAGCGGGCGGCGCGAGTTGTTGATGCTTTTGTCGCCGAGATCGCGACAGAGGAGGATCTACCGGTTTCCAAATTCGTTGGCATTGCTGGTGCGCTTCCCAAATCGTTACGCCGCTTTGACGACGATCTCTATCGCGCTGTCGACATTTACCTGAAGGTATGAATGCTTTTGGTATTTTTATGGATTATTCGTGTGTGACGAGAAAAATTATTCTATGCGGACATCATCTTATTTTTTTTTTTTTTTAAATTAAAATAGGAAAATATTTGTGTACATAAGACGTACGCAGTGCTGCATACCTCCATGGGTTATTCAGGGGAACAAGAGAGTTATATTGGGGTTATACCCCTCTGTAACCCCCATATAACCTAACCTACAAATGAGTTCCGTGCTTGTATAGTTTCATGGTTACAAGGGAGTTACACGGAGGTTACAAAGGAGTTACACGGAGGTTACAGAGGGGGCATAACCCAGATATAACCTCCCTGTAATCTTTAAATAACCCCTGACGTACGCTGCGCTGCGTACGTCTCATGTACGCAAATATTTTCCCTACCGTCGTATATCTTTTTTGAGATAAGTTGTGGATATGAAATAATTTTTGGTGACGAAGTCTAAATTATATGACAGTTACTCTATATTTTTTGGTTATTTTCGACCTAGAATATCAAATTTAAAAACAATTTGTATTAATATTCTTGATTTTACATAGCACATACTTTTCCATATAACTAAATTATTAAACATCATAATTAAATTATTAGATAAATACAATTAAACTATCTCTCAATAGGATAAGTTTGTTGTAAATTTTAGAAATTTATAATAATCTTGATTTTACATATCACATAATTTTCCATATAAGTATTAAACATGATAATTAAATTATTAGATAAATATAATTAAAATATCTGACAATAGGATACATTTGTGATAAATTTTAGAAATTCGTAATAATCTTGATTTTACATCTCACATAATTTTCCATATAACTAAATTATTAATCATCATAATTAAATTATTAGATAAATAAAATTAAACAATCTCACAATAGGATAAATTTGTGCTAAATTTTAGAAATTTATAATAATCTTGATTTTACATATCACATAACTTCCATATAGCTCAATTATTAAACATGATAATTAAATTATTGGATAAATAAAATTAAATTATCTGACAATAGGATAAATTTGTGATAAATTTTAGAAATTTATAATAATTTAATTACAATTATTATTTAAATTTATTTTTGTTTTATAATTATTTAATTTTATTTGAACAAACACTAAAGACATGTAATCTAAGATACATGATGTAAAAATCAACACTATTCTATATAAAATGTATTAGAAACTTGATTAATATTTTTTGTACTACATATTAAAAATTCATTTCTAAAAACTTAAAATTGTTTTAGAATCAACAACAACATCAACAAAACCTTAATCACTACGATCTGACTACATGAATCCTATTTCTCCATTGTGTCCTATTTAGTGTCATATTTTCAAAAAAATTATTTTAGAATCAATTATAAAATTTTAAAATATTTATGTAAAACATGGAGCTTAATGCAAGGGCCATAAAAATTAAAATGTAATTTTGTTTCTACATTTGATTGGTATTCTTTGTTCATATTTTATCACTTTTTAAGCTCATTATTTAATAAATAAATAAATAAATAAAAATTGTATTTTCAAGCCACTTGTTTTCATTTATTCCCTAGAAATTATTCTCCGATGGCTATCCATAACTCCTAACTTTGCATTAAAATCTTCAGGCCCACTCAGGTCTAGACGAGATAGAGAGGGAGAAAGCCTGCAGCGTGATGGACCCATTAAGGCTATCCTACGAGGCTCGCCTCCACGCCTCCCAAAACAAGCGCCTACCTGTCCAAGTAGTCCTCCACGCCCTCTACTACGACCAGCTCAAACTCCGTAGCACTGCCGCCGATGAGCCGCCGGTTGTGGCCGTCGGTAGAGGAGACGAATCATTGGCCAAAGAAAACGAAGCGCTGCGATCCGAGCTAGCACGGATGAAGCTTTATTTAACGGACATACAGAGGAACCAAGGTAGCAACAGTGGGAAGTCAGCAGCGGTGACGGCCCTGCCGGCGCCCCCGGCCGCCGCTAAGAAGACGACGTTCTTCACGTCAATGTCAAAGAAGTTGGGGAAGCTCAATCCGTTCCGGCAGGGTTCGAAGGATACTTCGGCTATTGAGGGAAATGGTGGGGTGGATTTGGCTAAGCCGAGAAGGAGGAGGTTCTCTATTTCTTGATCAATGATTGTTGTTATAACTTACGTTATTTTATGTAGTTTTGATTTGAAGTTTGGACTGGAGTGTTATGATCGTTTGATTGGTGCGTACCGATGTATATGAAGCTGCCTTGCTTTCGAAAATTTATACTTTTGGCTGGAGCTTTGACCTCCGGATTGTTGATTCTTAACTATAAAATATATAATTTAGTTCATAATATTCTGGAATATAATGATGATTTTTGCAGGTTGGAACCTTCCTCAATAATAGCATCTTTCAAGTCTGTTTTTCAAGCCTGTCGCTCTTTTGCGAAGCTCTAGTTCAACTATCATGACACTAGCTTCTTCCGATCTCTCGAAAGACTCAATTTTTTTCTTGACATGTTTGATAAGAGCCTTAAACTCACTTAGGAGTTCATCTGATTTTTTTATCTTCTTCGGATTAACTAGGAGGTACTTAGACTCTGTAATAATATATTTGATGCGTGCTAGAAAATTCACGGTGGTAGAGTAACGGACTATCATTTTATCGTTGTACGAAAGTTCAACACACACACAGATGAAAGAGAAATAAGCAGTGATGACTCGAGAAGTTTTTTACGTAGAAAACCCGTAAGGGAAAAACTACGGGGTTTGGCTCAGTTGCAGAAATTCACTATTGATTGTTGATTAAAGGAATCCTTTGTCCCACAGACGGAAAAAGTTAATTATATTTTTTAGATTACAACGTCGACTAACGATGTATGGTTGGTGGTGATCGATGGTGGTTAGTGGTAGTTGATGACGGTTGTCGAAGGTCGACGACGGTCGGCGGTAGTTGATGACGAAGGTCGGCAGTAGTGCTGAGCTGCAGCTTCTCCTCAAGTCCTCAGACTCTCTCTCTAGATTTCAGCTTCCTTTCATGTGAGGGGTGGGGGTCTATTTATAGTGTTCTAGGCGCAATTAATGCAAGAATATCAACCATTTTGATCGGACGGTCCAAGGAGTTTCCTCCAATCATGTCGTGTTTAATGGACATTTGAGTACCTTAATGATGTTGGAATTGGGTGATCTTGGGCTCGTTGGATTCTTCTTGTCGAGCCGCTCGATTCGAGTATAAACCTGTCAGTGTCGACATCTATTTGATATTCCAAATATGTCTAGAAATCTTCCAATTGTGGTTTAATGACTTGATCTGAGCTTGATTTGACTTGGATTGAATTAGTTTTCATATCATTAAGTTTGTCTCATCAAGCCGGTCAGTTTGATTATAAGTTTGCTAAAATCGGAGCTCTAGATGACTTTTTGTTAAGATTTAAATATTACTTGCTTAAAATATCGTCTTTAGATTTGTGTTATACTTCGAGATTCATGTCGGATGATGAAAATTTATTATAGACGTATCAATATTAATTAAAAAAAAGGTACTCATAATTTGAAGGTTAAAATTTTAGAACTTTAAAAGATTTTAGAACTATTTTTCTTCTAAAATTATTCAATGATTAAAATAATTTAAAATTATTTTTTAATAGATGTATTGAAATATTATATTTTTTAAATATTTATCTACATATATATATTTAAAATAAATAAACTCTTAAGAGTATTATAGGAGATTATTAAATGAAGCCACATCTGCAAAATAGATGTTACACTAATAGTCTCTAATTTTGCTGCTACTGCAAAAATAAAAATAAAAATAAACAAGTTAATATATCTTAATCATCTAATTTACGAGTTATTTAAAAAAAAATTTTATCTGAGGATATTGTTATTAATTTTTAATCATTTTTTTTTTCACAAATTGATTTAACTCTTCTTTTTCATCTATTTTTTTATATTAGTTTTCAATATTTAATCAATATATTTAGAATCAATTTAGATAGATATTTGAAATGATTTACTCCTTCTCTATAATGTTATAATGTTTTATAGCATAACAAATTTGAAAGGGTCTTTTATAATTAATTATTCTCTTGTGTCATCCTTAACACATTTTTATTCCTTTTTTTATTTTCATTTTTTAAGTAAAGAGTTATCCACTCTATTTTTTATATTTATTTTTTAAAATCTCTCAATTTCATCTTCATTCACGGTATTTAATAGGATTAATCAAATTCTCTCTTTGAATATAATTTACAAATATTTTAAATATCTCAATTAGGTTATTTTTATTTACTAAAAATAATATTCCAGTCATTAAAGTGACCACTTAATTGATATTCCCCAAAATTTGACTTATATTGAGGAGCCCAAAAGGATTCTAGAATATGATGTGAAGAAGCTTTGTAATAGAGAAATCTCATTTATAAGAATTTTTTGGAAGCATGGATCGAAGAATGATGCTATTTGGGAGAAATTCTATGAGATGCAAGAAAAATATCCACAACTTTTTGTTTGAGGTGTGTTTATTTTTGAAAAAGGAAGAAAAGGCTTAATCCAAAATTAGGAGTTGGTTTGGAAAGACACACCTCTTGGTGAGGATTATAGCGCAACCTCTAACATTTTACTTCTCAAAGTCAAGAAGGAAGGGGGAAGTTGTGATTGCTGTGTAGTATCAAGCCGTGTAAAGGAAGAAAAGGAAGGAGAGGGAAGAAGCAGCGTCAACGGCTTACCTGGATTAAGCCGCTGCCAAAGGCATGTCTCCTTCGCTTGAGGAAGGGGAGCTAAGCCCTAATTGTGATTATTTTTATGCAATAAATTAATGTTTGATTAAATGAATAATTACTTTATTACATGGTAATATCTTAAAACAAGTATTTCATTCATATCTTGCATTTAGAAAGTTTGAAATTGTTTCGCAAATGGGAATAAAATAATGGACATATAAAGGTACATTTTAAATGATTTTAAATTCATATGAAATGAAATGTAAATGTTTAAGTCATATAATATTACTTCTAGATGGTACTGACAGGTCATGTTATGTACTCATGCATATTATAGAAAATGATAATGGTACGCCTTCAGGTATATTTTTTAAAGTACCTTCATGTTTATTTTTTTAGGATACTTTTACGTATGTCATTAATCCTATTATGGCTGTTAAAATATTAAAATGATAAATAGTTGAAGTGAAATAAAAAAGGATAAATTTAACATGAAAGTTTAAAATTTTATAAATAAATGAGTTGCATTTTCTTTGGTCATTCATGCATAGCATTGACATAATAATTTAAGACATGTTAAGATTATAATTGCTCACTAAGTTAAAATTATTGTTGTAATTAATGATTTCCTTTAGAAAAAGAAAAGTTTTAACATGATATATCTGGTAGAAGAGACTTGACTTATAGGAGGAGGATTGCAGCTGATAGGTACTAGTTTATAATGTGTTTTAGCTTTTTTTACACTATTTCTCTTAGATAGTGATATGTTGTTGTGTGAATTGAGATTTTTCTTCCATATCATTTATGTTATTATTGGATGACTTAATTTTTTTTATAAGAAATTGTGAAATTCTTAAGGGCTCTTTTATATTTTAGAAGATTTTATAATTTAGTGGATAGTTGTTTAATTGTCATTACCATTAGACTGAAGTTTCTACCTTTGTTAATTCTAAATCCTGATCCAGGTCTTGACCTCCTCTCTAATGAAATCACACTTCAATCGAATCTCATACAATGCAAGTAAATCCCACACACACATACACTCTCCCTACTATTTTTTCCTTTGTCATGCTCTGATTTTTCTTGAACTTTGAATCCTCTCCCAAAGAAAGATCAAGTGAATCTAACCCTACAGATCACTCAAACTACCAAAAACTATCTTAAGCTGGTGGGAAGCGTAGCGTCATTGACTATGAGGCGTCAAGGAACCAGTAAAATAGTGTTGGATAGAGCTCTAGGTTTTGTGTCTATATACATCAAGCTAGGGCTTTAGACTATACAACACTGGAAGGGTAGCGCTGAGGTGCTGGTAGGGTGGTGGAGCTATGACGCTTAAGTCATGCATGATTTTGCTAGTGAGCTTGTACTAGGATGTTATATTCTTTATTTTTTTCATATGAAAGGGATCTTCAGTAGGTTCCTAGGCGCCAAACTAGGGGGTAAGGGCGCTCGAACATGCCTTAGCCAATTTGTTGCTCCCAAATGCTCAAGTCTTGGATTTAGAAATGTATTATGCAAATAACACTATATACTCCACAAAAATGATACATAAAAGGGTATAATTCATGCATACGTATATTACATATTTTGTACATATCATTAATTCTTTATTATTCTTTTTTTATACTAGTATTTTATATGTTATAACTTATAATTTACATTTATCCCCCTTTATCCCAAGTTTAAAGTGGGTTATATTTTCTCATTAAATTGACATATTATTTACTCTATTTTTATTAGTTTAGATCATGTGGTTGTATGACTAAAACCCCTGGATCAGGTTAAAGTTCTTAAGTTAGATGACTCACTGAGTAGGATAGACAACTCAACTAACTCAATTTGACCAAGTAACTCAATTAGGAAATCTGATTGAACAATCACAATGATAGTCAACAGAGAGATGCTCGACATAGGTAGCTCGACAGTTCATCCTTGGAGTCAACTTTCTAATGAGATCAACTCTTCCAAAAAGATTAACTCTTTTAATATATCAATTATTTAAAGAGATCAACTCTCCAGGGCAATCAACCCTCCTTGGAGATCAACTCACCATTTAATATTAACTCCTCTTAAAAGACCAACTCTTCTAAGAAAATCAACCTCCTAATATATCAATAATCCTAAGAAGATCAAATTTCTCAACATATCAACTCTTCTAGAAGAGTAACTCATAAAGGAGATTAACTCTCCAACAGATCAAATCTCCTAAGAGATCAACTCTCCAAAAAGATCAACTCCCCTAAGAAGGTCAACTCTCTTAGGATATCAACTCTTCTAAGTGATCAACTAATCACATGGTCAAGCTAGCCAATAAGAGTGTTACTAGAAGAGAAAAGCCAAATATATGGTGTAATTAAAATATGATACACCAAAAATAATGTATTGTTTTATGTATATATTTTATGCTTATTTTGGTGATATTGCACTTTAAATAAGGGTATTTTCATGTTTTTATTGCAGATCTATCAATTGTAGGCATTTGGAGCAAAAAGTAGCAAAAATGATAAAATTTGGAGCCAAAATGGAGATTTTCATGATCCTGGCGCCTGAAGCGCCATTTCAGAGAAGTAGCGCCAGGATT